ACAAGGTTACCCTGCTGGAGCAGGCTGGCGCAGCCCAACTCGCCGGCCCAGGAACTGGCGTAAACTCGGGACTCGCTCATGTTCCGACGTTCAGCGGGGCCTCGCTTTGTGCTGCCGGATCAATCGCCACTGCAGCGCCGGTTTTACCAGTATCAGTACCGGCTGCCAGCCACCCGACACAACAGTGGCCGTCATCTGGAGACCTCCCCGTGGTGCCGCCTCGCCTTCGAGACCGGATTGTGCGAGGTGAGTTCACAGAATTAAGCGATTTGCTGCCTGAATCCCTGGGCTTCGAGGGGGATCATGATGTGATGCAACTCGACGTGGGCGCGGGCCGATCTGTGCAGCTCGTCCCCAAATCTTCCCACCGGCAACCCGCCAAACGACACATCTATGATCTTGCCACATGGGTGGAAGCGTTCACCACATACTCGAGGGTGCTGGCCGACGCCTCACCACAGCTGGCAGGTGATCTCTGGGCGTATCAGGCCATCATTGTCGATGCCAACGTCCGGTTCCACAATGATGCCTGGCTGTCCTACGACCGCAAATTCCGTATGGCCACGGCGTCCCTCCCTCACCGCTATTCCTGGTCCGTCATTGACCCGAACCTGTGGCAGTCTTGTCTCACGGGCCGTGGGCGGCCTCCGTGCCAGCGTTGCTCCATGGTCCATCCAAGTCAGCCCAGCAGCTGCCCCTTTCGTGGGGGGCTCCCAGCCCCAACAGCGCCTACGGGGAGCCAGTTCTCGCACCAGCCTGGCTTTGACGGCAAAGCCATCTGTCGTTAATTTCAACTTCGGCAGCTGCTTGCTGTCCCCCTGCTCCAGAGCACACGTCTGCATCCAGTGCCGCGGCCGTCACCCCGCACGCCAATGCTCCAAGTCTGGTGACTCGACCAAGAAATAACTCTCACCCCAGTGGTGACGCTGCTTTATAGGTGCCCACTAGCACGCCTGTTCATGTTCAGCGCTTTATCAATCTTCCCTCTCCTCATCCAAATGCAGTATTTCGCTCTTATGGTTCACAAGGCATGCAGTATGGCTTTCGTATTGGCAGCTTTCGCCCCATTGCATCTTCTGTTATGTCTCCTAATCACTCTTCGGCTTGTGCTTGCCCTGCTGAGGTTACTACTCATCTGCTTAACTGTTGTGACCGCGGAGAAACTGCGGGCCCATTTGCATCTCCGCCATTCCCTCACGTGCATATTTCTGGTTTGGGTGCTATCCCGAAGTCTGATGGCAAACTGCGTATCATCCACGACCTCTCGCCCCCTGCCGGCTCGAGTGTGAATGACGGTTATATCTCGGGATGAATTCAGCCTGCAGTACGAAACTGTCGATACAGCTATCTCTCTGATCATGCAGGCAGGGTGTGGCGCTCTTTTGACGAAGGTCGACAGGAATGCATTCCGTCTCTGTCCTGTTGCCCCCTGTGACTGGCCTCTTCTGGGCATCTTCTGGCAGGGACAATTCTATCATGACAAAGTGCTACCATTTGGATTGCGTTCTGCACCATACATATTCGATAAATTCGCCACAGCAGTCCAGTTTATTCTCGAGGATGCATGCCACCTAAGCCAATTACTCCCCTACCTGGACGACTTTCTGAACGTTAGTCCGCCCCACCTGCCCGTTGCGGAACATCATCGCTCACATATCTTAGACATGCTCCGCTATTTGCAGATACCGGTGGCCTCTGAGAAAGTCGAAGGCCCATCCACATGTCTCACCTTCCTCGGCCTGGAGCTGGATTCGCTGACGTTTGAGATCCGGTTACCGTCCGCCAAACATGGGGCGTATCTCGGCAAAGTCAACGGCCTCCTTCAATCAGGCATGGCGTCCCGGCGCGAACTCGCCTCCGTGTTGGGCAATCTCTCGTTCGCGGCCCGGGCTATTCCTGTCGGTCGTACCTTCCTGAGGCGCCTGTACGACCTTGACCGTGCAACAAGCAACCTTCCAAAGCACAAGGTTCTCTCTGGCAATAGCACCGTCATCCAGGAGGACATACTCAGCTTCAGAGCGGCGGTACCTGGATTTCTGTCAGCAGCATGGCGTTGTGGCCCTGCCTGGAAGCGACGTTCCACTGTGCTACTACGCAGCCCTCCTCATGCGCACACTGCGGCCGGCCTCGGTTCGCACATATATGTCAGTCATCTGGAACTTACACGTCGAAATGGGCCTCGAGTACCCGAATCAGCCGACGTCCCTGCTGTCACGAGTGTTAAGAGGCATAGCCCGTTCGTCGGGACCTGGCCGCCCTCGTTTGCCTATCACAACACCCATCCTCCGGCAACTCTGCCAACGCCTCCAAGTTTCCTCCATGCGGCACTCAGTTGACCAGGCAATGCTGCAGTGCGCCTTCACCCTGGCCTTTTATGGCTTCCTGCGCTGTGGTGTGAGCTCACCTCGTTGACGTTTGGCAACGTGGCCCTGGACCAACAATCATTTCGTATCACCATCACGCTGCTGCAATCAAAGACGGACCCGGACGGTAGGGGCACGGTAGTCCACGTGGGCGGCTGTACCGATGTCATCAGCTGCCCTGTTACGGCGATGGTGCGGTACCTGACGGCAGTGTCGGCAGAGTCCCAATCTCCTAGAGATCAGCTGCTCGTCTACCACAATGGCCAGCCTCTGACACGAGCGGACGTCACGAGGGAGGTGCGGACCCTCCTACCGCTTTGTGGGATTACAGATCCGTCCAGCTATGCCAGCCACTCATTCCGGATCGGAGCAGCCACGTCTGCAGCTATCGCAGGCGTACCAGAGCACGTGATCCGCCATATGGGGCGATGGCGCAGCGACGCCGTGCTGCGCTATATCCGTGTTGAGCCATCCGAGGTGCGGCTAGTATCAGAGAAGCTAGCCACAGTGAGTGACTGACCAGTAGCGCTGCACCTTGACGAATGTCTCCTCCGGTATACATACCAACTCTCAGTACCGCTATCGGTACCTAGATTTCTTGACTGCTAGCAGCTCCTGCTATACTCCTCGTTCAATGCTCGCGTTATTTCTGAGCACTGACTTATTTGGTTGGCCCACCAGGGTAACTAGCTTGGGCACTGAACTCTCAGTAGCTGGCAGCATTCTCTCTACTCTCCCGAATCACTCTATTCGGTTACTGCCCTTGGCAGGTCAGCCGCCATTTCGGTCTCACTCCGAATCACTCTATTCGGTTACTGCCCTTGGCAGGTCAGCCGCCATTTCGGTCTCACTCTCGGTCCCCGCCTCTGTCGGGTCGGCCGCCTCCATGGTTACACACTGCCAGCTCCTTCGCCCAGTTACCCTGTGGTGCCAACCAACTACTGCTGTGTCTGTGTGTGGGTCGTGTATGCCTCCGCGTACGGAGCATGCGTTAATGCAAGTTTTGCGTAGCTAAAGTATGTTAACGCGGTGACGTAATGTTTTCACTGTATGCTGATGTCTATCACGCGCGTGTTCGCGCCAGCTCACGGATGCGCCGTTGTGCGCATGCGCAAACTCTCCCAGCAGCTCGCTTTGCATACGTACACCCTTCAGCAGCCTTCGTGCCTGGCTCTCTTTGTTAGTTGCATTGGCTCGCATGACTCTTGCTCCGTGTTTTCACCCACCCACCCACACCGACTTCATTGTGTTACAATTCTTATTCTGTAGCACCCCGCTTATACTACTAACCTCATTCGTCTTCCAAACTCACTCTGCTAAACAAAAACAAGCAGGGATTGGGCACTGAACTCTCAGTAGCTGGCAGCATTCTCTCTACTCTCCCGAATCACTCTATTCGGTTACTGCCCTTGGCAGGTCAGCCGCCATTTCGGTCTCACTCCGAATCACTCTATTCGGTTACTGCCCTTGGCAGGTCAGCCGCCATTTCGGTCTCACTCTCGGTCCCCGCCTCTGTCGGGTCGGCCGCCTCCATGGTTACACACTGCCAGCTCCTTCGCCCAGTTACCCTGTGGTGCCAACCAACTACTGCTGTGTCTGTGTGTGGGTCGTGTATGCCTCCGCGTACGGAGCATGCGTTAATGTTGTTTATTTTACTTCGCAGATTCTAACGGGCAAGTTGCCCAATAACAAGAAAGCGAAGGCAAAGAAAATAATACTAATAAAAGAAATAAGCATGTGTGTTCGATAATGTGGTTCCCTCGCCTATCCGGATATTTTGTGGAGAACGGATGTGTGCGGTTATGCGAGGTCAAAAAAACCCAAGTCCAGGCAGGGGCCCCGGGCCTGAATGAGCCTTGGGGCTGCTCTCAACATTGGAGTCGGATTTCTCTTGCCCCGATAGTGCACATGTACGTGTACAACAGTACGTAATGCCATTGTATATTTGTATTTAGTAGCAGACGGTGCCAGTGACTTTTGTTGCCATCATCACCGACGTGAGCACTCGGTGATGATTGGACTTGCACAGTTCCAGCATGCAGTGGTTCACCACATACCACTATTCCAATTGAATTCTTTTATTCAAAGCAACATTATGCTATCAAGTACTAGTAGCGTGCTATGCTGCTCGAAGAGTACCCCCCCCCCCCCCCCCCCCCAATGTAGGGCAGAGCCTTCCACACAACGAGAGAGAGAGAAAGAGAGAGGGGGGAAGCTGTGTTGCAACTCCGAGTTTTACGTAGTAGTACGTGAAACTCGAGTTGCAACACAGTTAGCTCACGGCACTCTCTCTCTCTCTCTCTCTCTACAAGGTTAGGCTGCTCAAGTTGAAGAAGAGGATAAACGGGTATGATTGCAATATTGGCTAATAGGCATACTGCATTCTACAATCATTGGCCGTGGCTATAAAAGTAGAGTAGAAAACTGAGTTTGTGGTGCGGGTTTTGTGGAGAGCATTATGCTGTTTCCATTTCGGCTCGTTACTCCGCCATGTCGACGTGGAACAGCTGCATTCCCTATGTACCTCACCCCTGAGCACTATGTTACTCCTGCGTGCACGATTGTGTATGTGTGATTGTGCATGTGTGATTGTACATGTGTGATTGTACATGTGTATGTGTTGTTCTCTGTTTGCAGGTTCCCCCGTATGCACCTCCACAGATAGCTAGCAACCCACCGTCCCAAAGGCGCACCCGCACATGAGCGCAGCCACACACCAAATGCAAACGACCCGCACTCCTCACCACCACCACTAGTACGATTAGAAGCAGTCCGAAGGGAAGAAAGGCAAGGGCGCGGACACATAACGCCCCAAGGCCCGTGTTGTGCACACAACATCCACCCAATCGCACTGATCACCCTGTTGCTATGAACAGCAGTGGCGTCCATCAACAGCCAGTTGCTCAGATGCCTATACAGCAACCTGCTATTCAAGGTCACTACATTCACAATCAAGAGCCGCCAGCAGGTCAGTACCCCAGCACATATGGATATCACATGCAGCCGCAGACATTAGGTCAGCCCTACAGCCTACCCAACAGCAACGGCAAGAAGAAGCAACGGCGCTACCGAACGACGTTCACGCCGCAGCAGCTGCAACAATTGGAGGAGGCGTTTAAGCATACCCAGTACCCAGACGTGTTCATGCGTGAAGACATTGCCGAGCGCATAAAGCTGAACGAGGCTAGAATACAGGTATGGTCCGTGAACGCATATTGTGCAGTCATGTACTTTTTTTTGGAACTTTTTTTTACTTCGCAAAATCCAAACGGGAATTTCTTCCCAATGACAAGGTAGCGAAGATCGAGGGAAGAAAAAAGAGAGAGGGAGAGAGAGAGAGAAAAAAAGGAAAGAAAAAGTGTGCATGCACTGGAAATGATAGTCAGCTGGAAATCGGATCCATTGTCAAACATGGCATTTGCTACTGTTGCATGTAGTCAACGAGCAATTGCGTAGGGTACTGCTGCAGCTTTGAAGGTCTCCAGAGTTGTGCTGGAGCGGAAGTCTCCAGGTAATCTGTTCCATTTACCTGTAGCGTTGAAGGCGTACCTCGACTTGCCAGCGTTTGTTCTTGCAACTGGAAGACTGAGTCCGTCCTGCTGCTGAAGGCGGGTTTCTCTGGTCATTTGTGGAGTCATTAGTTCTGTGACTGACTGCGATGTCTCACCGTGTAGGCTCTTCCACACAAGAGCTAAGGTGTTCTGCTTGAAGTGCTCTGACACCTGGAAAACTCCCAGCCGGCCAGGTCAGCAAAGGTTCAGCTGAGTGTCGCGTGGGCACACCGTAGACAGAGCGGACTGCTCGATTCAGCAGAATCTGCAGCCTCCTGGTCTCAGCACTCGACAGTGAGCCACTGAAAGAGGGCGAGGCGCATAGGGCGTCTGGCAGTACTACGGAGGTCACGTACCGTGCCCTTGCAGCTTCACTGAGGCAGCGGCGTGCGCGCCAGAGTGCTCCGATTTACTGAGCCATCTTGGCCGCCACTTTGTCAATGTGCTCCTTGAATGTCAAAGTGATGTCCACGGTCACTCCGAGATACTTGACTGAGGAGGCTTCTGGGAGGGGTGTTCTGTCGCAGGTGACTTTGATCGGTGGTGTTGGCTGTTTGCGTCCGGCATACACTGCTAGGAGATGACTCTTTGTCTCATTGAGAATGAGGCCACGTTGACGTAGCCAGTCACTGAGCTTTGTGACTGCTGTGGAGAGATTAGCTGAGATGACATCCGTTGACGTGTGGCTGAATTGAATCTCAATGTCGTCAGCAAATTGGATTGACTTTGCTGGCTCTACAACTGATCCGGGTATAGACACTGAACAGCAGGGGACCAAGCACTGAGCCCTGTGGAACACCACATGTACACGGCTTCGTGCCACTTTGGAGGGTGCCAAATCGGACATACTGCTGTCGGATGCTGAGATAGCTGGCAATCCATGACAATGCCCTGCCAGTTACGCCAACCTCAAACAGATCCTGTATCAGGACATGGTGACGCACTTTGTCGAAAGCTTTCGACATGTCCAGAAAAACTTCAGTAGTGTGTGTGTCTGTGTGTGTGCGCGTGTGTTCTTCATGCAGTCCAGAGATCGTGAGTTGCGTCTCCATCAGCGTGTGGACCACCTCTCCGCTAGCCCTTTCCCAAAGGTGCTCGCCCTTTTTTTCGCCCTTTTGGCCCTTTTTGGAAAAGCCCGTTTCTTTCGCCCTTTATTGCGTTTTTTTTTGGAGAATATCGTCCTTTTTGAGCTGAAAAAGTGCTAAAATCTGTTTTCTCATGCATGCGATCACAGTTTCCGAGTGCTCGATTGGTCTTGGCACGCCGCTTTTTTGGGGGGCAACAAGTTAGTGAAGCTTGTACCCGCGCGGTGTACACAATGCTGTAAAAGAGGGGTTTTGAACTTTACTTCCTGTTTTGCCTTTCGTGGACCCATAAATGGAAGAGTGCATATTCATTTCTCAGCTTGGCCTTTTGGGTTCATATCTGAACATGTAGCATGGCTATGCTTCACTGAAAAAAGAGCCCTTTTTGCCTGTTTTCACTGAAAAAAGAGCACTTTTTCAGCATATTTTGAGGGACGCGAAAAGCACTAAGTGCGAATTAAAAGAGCACCTTTGGGAAAGGGCTACTCTCCGCGCAGCTCCTAGGCCTCCGTGAGGAAGTTTGTTCCCTGCAGAAATCCGCCATTGTTCCCGACAAGGCCCCTGCACGATCTTCCCAGCACCAAGCCCAAGGCGACAAATCTCGTACCCGTACGAAACCTCGTAAGCGTCCTCCCGGATCCCCAGCTTGACCCAGCCGATGCAGATAATGGACAACAGTCAGGGCCTCTTGACCTCTTGCTCTGCACAGCACGAAATGCGTACCCGTACGGACGACCCCGGCTTGGTCGATCCTGAGCCTGTGCAATCAAACTGCGAGAAGAGCCAACCTATCCTGGCCGTCATCAAGGATGACAGTTGGAAATTAGTTGCCGCGGGCCCGCCAAGAAAGAAGCGATCGGTGTTCTTTGTGGGTAACTTGAGCCACGACTAGACTGCACGGTGGACAGCCTCACTGAGTTTGTGCACCGTAGGTCGGAAAGCGTGGGTCCGCCTGTCAAAGCCCACCAATGCAGCATACACACAGCCGAAAACGGGCAAGTGTCTACCAGGATATCAGTTGCTGCCACCTCCAAGCTGACAGTGACGTCAGCCAATTTCTGACCAAGGCCGCTCTACTGCAGGCCGTGGAGATTCCACACCTCCACAAATGCAAATGCAGCCAAAAGCATCAGCAGCAGCAAGAGCAGCAGCCACAACAAGAACAACAGCAGCAGCAGCAGCAACAACAACAACAACAACAACAACAACAACAACAACAACAACAACAACACCAGCAGCAGCAGTTGCCGCAGCAGCACCAGCAGTCGCCGCAGCAGCAGCACCAGTGGCCACCGCAGCAGCACCAGCAGTCGCCGCAGCAGCAGTAGCGGCAGTAGCACCAACCAGCTGGAAGCACAGCAGCATGATCAAGAGCAACAGCAACTTGGGATTGGCTCCACAATTATTAACGACTTCCTGAGTGCGAGTCGTGGCCTGTCCCCTGCCGCTGCCGGCACACCTGTAACCCCCCTTCACAGCCACAAACGTTCCTCTGCGGAACGGTCACCAGATTCGCTGTCGCAGGATGCAAAGCGAGCTGCCCAGCATAGTGCGCAGCCACCCCAGCAGGATACACAGACCCATGAGCCCACCACCCAATGTAGGCCATGCACCAACCCCAACAACGCCAACGGTCACAATGAAAACTACGGCCCCCTCACTCCATCTCCTGCTCACGAATGCATTCAGCATCTACAACAAAATGGATGAGCTTCAGCATACTCTGAAAAGCGAGCATGTAGACATCGCTGTTGTCACCGAGACCAAACTATCGCCCGACAAGGCTACAGTTGCGGAAGTCTCAATCCCTGGCTATTACCCCCCCCCCCTCCCCACACCCCCCCCCCCCCCCCCAATACGTCGAGACCGGACAGTGCAAGGTGGCGGAGTCGCCATATGGCTGAAAGAAGGGATGGCGTACAAACAACTGGACATCAACTCTGAGTGTGGAACTCTTTGGATCAGTTCTGCTGCACCGTCAGGCATGAATTCGGCATCTGTGCTGCCTACAGACCCGGGACGAGGGCAGACAGCGACTGCAGTATCTTCACCCAGCTGGAATCTGACATCGACAAAGCCCGGCAGTCCTGCTCACACATTATTGTGGCAGGGGACTTCAATGCCCACAACCGGGAATGGGTTGGAACCCCGCACACCTCGGCAGCTGGAGAAGCTACAGAAGACATGTGCTGTGTACATGGTCTCCGACAACACGTCACCTCAGCTACTCGTGGAAAAAACATCCTTGACCTCGTCATGTCGGATGTGCCTGGAACTGTATGTACCACCACCCAACCACCTCTTGGCGGATCAGACCATGCTGTTGTCATAGCCGACTTCCAGCTTACTGCATCTGTAGACCAACCCACCACTCGTACAGTATGGCGATACCAGCGGGCTGACTGGCCCCGCCTCTCTGCCTTCCTCCAGACTACTGACTGGGGCACAATAATTGGTGACGACCCAGACATATCATGTGAGCTTCTGACCATGCGAATCACTGGAGGGAATGCAGCGCTTTATACCATCCAAGGTCTTCAAGACCAGACCGCGGGACCCAATCTGGTGGACGCCAGAATGCTCTGCAGCAGTTGACAGAAAGCGCAATGCCTGGCGGAAATTCCGCGATGACCCCAGACATGGAGCGCTCAAGTGTACATACAAGCTAGCATGCCTTGACTCAACAAGATGTCTAGCAAGAGCCAAAGCCAGACATCTCGACCATGTCAAGCAACGGCTCCGGACGGGCAGCCTGCAGGACAGAGAGTGGTGGAGCATGATTAAACAAGTTGGAGGGCATGGCCGGAACAGCTCCATCCCAGTCCTGGTTAACCCCGATGGCATGGAATGCACCACAAGCCACGACAAGGCAAACGTCATTGGGAAGTACTTTGCCCAGAAGTGCAGCCTAGACGATGACTTTGCAGAACCGTCGGGGCCGTTCCCGCATGTCCGCTGGCGCACAGCAAATAGTGCCAAATACGCTTGCAACAGTCCACTTCCGCCAAGCCACCGTACGCCGGACACTCCGAGCCCTGAATCCAAGTAAAGCCACAGGGCCTGATGCTGTACCCGCTAGAGTGCTGAGAAAAAGTGCCGACTCTCTGGCCCTGCCCCTATCCAAGCTGTTTACCCTGTGCTTCTGCAGTGGTCATCAACCTGCCATGTGGAAAGTTGCCAACGTCGTACCGGTACACAAGAAAGGCCCCAAGTAGAACTCCAGAACCTACCGACCGATATCACTACTGCCCATAATGTCTAAGTGTATGGAGTCCATCGTGAGCCGCAGCCTGTCCAACTAACTTCCTGAAGAAGAATGACATCCTTTCTCACAGGCAGTTTGGCTTTCGCACTGGACTGGGAACGTCCGATCTGCTGATTGCTCTTCAGCATGAGTGGAGCCTTGCAGCTGCCGGTGGAGGCCTAGTCAAGGTCCTCGCAGTAGATATTGCCGGGGCCTTCGACAAGGTCTCGCACAACGGCGTCCTCCACAAGGCGGAGCGGTGCGGCATAAGCGACCCCCTCCTTGCCTGGCTCCGGAGTTACCTGACAGACCGCCACATCCGTGTCGTCATAGTCATAGGCGGCCAGTCTTCACCGACCCACCGAATCCAATCTAGCGTGCCGCAGGGTAGCATCCTCGGCCCCACCCTCTTCCTTCTGTACGTCAACGACGCAGAAGACCACCTGCCTGATGGGGCGAAGCTGGCTGTATACGCCGACGACACAACTCTCTACAAGTGCATCACCACACGAGTCAGACTGGCAGAAGAGGCAGCAATCTTCCAGCAGGCAGTGGACTCACTGGCAGCAAGGGGAAGCAGGTGGCGGATCAAGTTCGAGACCACAAAGTCGCAGGCATGGACCATCAGCCACCACCGCTCGCCAATTCCCCGAACGCAATACGCTTCCAAGGAGAAGTCGTGCCAGAAGTAGAGGAGCTCAAGCTTCTTGGCGTCACTTTCGACAGGCAGCTGGCACTCCGCAGCCATATCCGACAGCTTGCAGTACGCGGAGCCCAGCGGCTCGGCTTCCTCCGTAAGGCGTCGGCTGTGCTAGACCCAAAGCACCGGGCAATCGTGTACCTTGGCTTTGTCCGGCTTGTGTTAGAGTATGGCATGCTGGTGTGGATGAGCGCAGCCCCTACCACCTTGGCCCGCCTCACTGTCATGAATCCAGCGCAGTACCCTACACATAATTGGATAGTGCCCTGCACATAATTGGAGATGGATCATACCTTCCGAGCCTCGACATTCGACGTGCCGTAGCAGGGCTCTGCTTCCTGTACAAGCTGCACTTTGTGGAGGGTCCGGAAATGGTGAAAGCCATTCTGCCACCACCAGCAGCCGCACCGCAATGCCGCATGTCTACGCGCGAGACAACCAGATCTGCAGCACATCATCCATCACAACTCACCAGTATCCTTCCTCCTCAGTCACGAAACAACACAATCCGCTCATTTCCCCACTCCCTCATCGCAACGTGGAATCAGCTTCCACCTACCCTTCTGCAGTCTCCCCCTTCTCGCAGAGGTATGCACACCTTCAAGAAAAATGTCAACGACCTCTTGCGGCGCTGCAAGTGGGAGTGGGCCACAGACAGGTTATGATCTCTCCATCGCAGCCAACACACCAGCCTAATTATACTGACCGCACTCCAGCTCCCTTCTATCCCTCTTTGATCCCCTTTGCTCAGCCCTAATATGCGATTATCAGTTCTCTCCATCTTCCTACGGTGCACTGCTTTTACTATTGATATATCCTATCTCAAATTCTCCCCGTTATCATTTGCAAAGCCGGTGCTTCCCTCTTGCACATGTTTCATTTCTCCTATGCATCGGCGCACAGGAGTAGCGATGACTCCAAGACCTTTGGTCGGAGGAGTTACTTTTGCCCCGCCCCCACTTCCATCCAATATGCCACCGCCCCCGCTGTGCAGCATCTGATGGATCCGTGGTATTCAGTAAAAAAAATGCTAGATTTACATCCTACCGCATGGCTGACATCAAGAGTACATAACCCTCAAAGGGAATATGAAACCGTTACTCTTGCTGGCATACAGTACTGATAGGATCTATCTCATGCCATGCATACACGGTGTGCTCACGATGTAGGATGCCAGACTTAAAACTGACACCTGGTTGGCAGTGTCATATCCTGGTGGCAAGGAATTCCAGGTGACATAGGTGTGTGTGTGTGGGGGGGGGGGGTTTCGGGAATGAACACACACTATGTAACGGCACACACACACACACACACACACACACACACACACACACACACACACACACACACACACACACACACACACACACACACACATGCGCATACACAGTGCCCGTCAGTCATGTAAAATCAAGTTCCAAAGAACTATCTACTGTAAAAGGCATTATTCTAACTCTGGCACATATCTAACGATTTCCCAAAATTGACTAGTTTACGTATACCAAAGGTAACGATTCTCACTCATTCTCAACGCTCAATAGGACAGTATATGTATCGATTTCTGTATAACGATTTCTATTTTAACGACAGATTTCTCCTCGTTAAAGGGGAAGTTAAGGCAAAAATTAAAATTTCACCAGTTGTAGTCTTCGGGGTGCTGAGTCGAATGGTCGTGGTCCGAGGAAGCTGAGACGCTCCCTTCCTACTTGAATCCCAATCGAACTTGCGCACTTCCACCGAAACTGGGTGACTACGCCCAACTAGATGGGGATTTGTATGCAAAATGTCACTAAAAGCGCCATTTCGTTCTTATAAAAGCACGGATGACCGCGATTGGCCCATATGTTGTAGTCTTTTTGACGCTGAGTCGACTGGTTTTGGTCCGAAAAGGCTGCGATGCAGCGTTCCTCCTTTATTCCCAATCGAACATGGTTGAACAAGTGGTCACGTGCTCCTGGGTGCCCAAATCACCTGGTCACCACGCCAGCAGGCGACAACTTTCACACCAAGGTTCAACTCGAGTTCAACTCGAGTGACAGGACTGCACCCAAAAAAGGTCAAACAGGCTAGTAAGTTGTACCCTGCAGGCACGGTGACCAGGTGACTGGTGTACGCAGGAGCACGTGACCGCATGTTCAACCATGTTCGATTGGTAATAAAGGAGGAACGCTGCATCGCAGCCTTTTCGGACCAAAACTAATCGACTCAGCGTCCAAAAGACTACAACATATGGGCCAATCGCGGTCATCCGTGCTTTTATAAGAACGAAATGGCGCTTTTAGTGACATTTTGCATACAAATCCCCATCTAGTAGGGCGCAGTCACCCAGTTTCGGTGGAAGTCCGCGAGTTCGATTGGGATTCAAGTAGGAAGGGAGTGTCTCAGCTTCCTCGGACCACGACCATTCGACTCAGCACCCCGAAGATTACAACTGGTGAAATTTTAATTTTTGCCTTAACTTCCCCTTTAACTCGTTAGAGTTAGCACTTCGTTATGGCTTTTACAGTACTTGGTCTGTACTAGTACAGTCGTCCCTCTCTAATCCGGCACTTGTTTATCCGGAACCCTTGCCAACCGGCGCACTTTCTGACGAAACCGATTTTTTTCGTTCAATTCCTACATCTTAATCCGGCACTTGAATTCCGCCTCCGGCAATGACTTTTTGAAACGAATCGCTCAAACTGCACGTAGTTTGATTTCATAATCCGGCAGTCATAAATCGACTGTGCGTGTGTGTGCAAGAGTACGTATACATGTGAACATGTTCTCTGTTGTACTTTATCACTGTGTATATTCCTGGAGAAAAGTTGAGAATATAAAGCCGTGCACCAAATACTGGGGTCGACACGAAAAACCCTGCGTTTTGACGTATGATACATGCATGCAATTGGGTAGGGCCGGGTCAGAGGGCAGGCTTTCTTAATCCAGCACCCTCGTTAATCCAGCAGAAAATGCCGTAGCAAAAGGCGCCGGATTAGAGAGGGACGACTGTACTGGCATACAAGGCGTGATACTCACTGCATGCTATTTATACAAGGCATGATACTCAGTGCATGCATGATACTCACTGCATGCTATTTATACAGCTTATACTGTAATGTGCCCCCAAACTGCAGAACTAATCATTTATATACACCATCAATCGCCTTTGGTTTTGGGAACACTCATGAGCACACCACGTGGCATACAAACATGTGTGACTGTCATAAAATACAATGTGTGTGTGTGTGTGCGTGTGTGTATGTGTGTGTGTGTGTGTGTGTGTTATCACATCAGGTATGGTTCCAGAATCGCCGAGCGAAGCACCGCAAGGAGATGCGCAAGCAGAATAAGAATCCTGGCTCTCGCAAGTCCGGCGGCCAGGTGGAAAAGCAGGAGGACGATGAGGCCGATAGCCCTGAGATGGCAGGCGAGGAATTGGAACGTGCCAACGCAGGCTCCTCGCCATCCGTTGCCAGTCTCCAGTGCCAGGCATTGCCCTCAAACGAACAGTCGCCCGAGCAAGGTGTTCTGCCGACGCCCACGCAACAGCACCAGCAGCAGCAGCCGTCCATGCTTGAACTTAGTCACTATCAGTACGTTGCTCCCGGCAACCAGTTCTTCCATCGGGGTGCACTGACGTCGCCGATGACTCATCATCAAGTGCCATCCTTACCCCAGAGTGAAGCAGTAGCGCACCATCAAGTACAGGCAGCAGGGGCACACGTCACCGAGGTGCACGCCATCACTAGCCCGGTGGCGTCGGCACCCTCACCCACGCACTACGCCATGTCGGCGTTGCCGGGGGCGACGGGATGGACGGCGATGACATCACCAATGCAGCAGCACCCGCACACGCACCCGCACGCGCATCGGCAGGCGGAACCGACGGCAACCGACGTGGCTTACCTGCAGCGGCACGCCAGCACGCCGTCAATCGTGGCCTCTGACGGCTCCCTGGCGCGCTGTCCGTCCATGCCCATATTGCAGCACACGCCGAGCAGCCCCTTTGCGCCAACGGTCAGCCGACAAGCAGGACAAGCACCGTACGCGGCGCTCTATCACTCTACACCCACCACACCCATGGATCCCGGAGTGCAGACGCAGATGCGCTACTACCCGGAAGTGCAACACCAGAGGCAGCCAGGACAGTATCCATGATCACGCTGTGCCCGGTCGTGTAATTTTCTTGTCAAATCTAGGATGACGGGCAGGCTGACTATCCGGCTATGTTCGTCATCGTGCTAGTCAGTAGGTACCCACTGCAAACAATGCTTGTGCTGGCCCTGGTTCTTTCCTAACGCTCCGCCCCCACCCCTGCAAGAAAGTGTGCAACTCCTCCCGCACACCCTGCTGCCCCCAAAAAGTTGCATGATACGAATGACTCAGATGGTGAGCCCAAGGAAAAATTTGTAACATGGGAAATTGTGGGCACAAGTCATGCGATCGAGTCCATACAAATGACATCAACTTTAAAACTATCCGCCGTCGACCCTGCTGCTTGAACGACCCAACGGCCACCGGCATGTAACATCTGCCAACATGATGAACTAACGACAGAGGCCCGATAATAAGGTCTGGAAATGCCTGGTTACCCTGTCGTTTCACAGTTCCCATGAGAACACGCTGGGATTGCTTCTGCTGAATGACTTCCCCTTACCCCGGTTTCCACAGGAAACCAGTTTAGTGTAGCTCCGAAGTTCACGAGTCCCTGAATTAGATTCTTTCCTTCCTCTCTCGGTGTTTCCCTCTGCCTGTCTGTCTCTTTCGGTAGTACCAGGCTGGTCGCAAGTCCAGGTTGTCCTTAGTTACCCGTATTACTGTATTGTTATCAGCTCAAAGAAACTTTCCCTTCATCCGTGAGGAACGGAGCCCGAACAGAGACAGCACTGTTCTCTAAACAACACACATGCTGGACATAGTCTGTGCATTGTCCTCCACCTAGATTTAATTAGCAGTATCCCCGTTGTTTTAATTGTAGAAGGCCGGCAGGCATCACTGCACGCTCACTAGAAATCATTATCATGTCCTCAGCAGATCAGGCACGGAATCGGCGCTACATCTTTATTTTTTTATTTCTTGGAATCTATTGCCGCTTGTATTCTCTCTATTTAGTAATAGTCATTGTCGTCCGGTTGAAGGTCTATTTTATACCTGTGAGATCCTAGGAAACAGTCCCAGGAAGTGAACTGCCAGCGGAAAAGCGAAACAATCCAACCCTACCAGGACTCTAACCCGGACCTTGCTTGTCATGAGCAATGCTCTAACCATCTGAGCTATGGGACCAGGCCGAACCTATAAGGTGCTGACAAGCTTTTTCACACCAAAGGCAGGTCACAGCATCTGCCACGCATACCAATGGCACTTGGGTCTTTTTCTGTACCCCGTTTCAATAGATGCTAGGAAGTTTGATCTTCTCTTTCGTTATCTAGAGCCACCGATTTCACTATTTTCTTTTTCTACCTGTATATATTATATCCAAATAGACCTGAGATTGTATGTTTCCAATTGTTTCATACAATATTTTCAAGGCAAGTCACTGTCAGGCTGCTGTGTGCGGTGCTGTTTCTATGGTTTCAACTACTAGTACTTGCTGGTACCTCGTGCACACACACAACACACAACACGGACCGCTACTGTGACATCCAATCTAGCTGGACCTGTGGTTTTTTTGGGAAGGGAGGCTAAACCATCCAGACATATTTTATATCTACTTTGAAGTACTGAATGTGGTTTTTTAAAAGCGCTTATTGGATGATCCAGTTTGGTTTGAACGATATCGTGCAATTTTGTTTGACAACGTTGGCAACGTTTAGTCTCTCACCAGCTACATGTATATATTGCCCAGGTTTATTCAGCATACGTTTTTCGTCTTTTCTCTTTTTGTTCACCACTCATCCCCCCTTTTTTTCTAAACATTTACACTGATGTATATACATTGTTTATTTTTTTTATTTTTTTTTTATTTTTTGGTCCCATCAGCCTCTTCATATTTGTCCAGCTGCACTGTTGAGCTTCCGATGTAAAACAAAATTTAATAATAGTAATAATAATAATAATGCAAAAGTGCTTGTGTGTGCATGTGTGTGTGTGTGTGTGTGTGTGTGTGTGTGTGTGTGTGTGTGTGTGTGTGTGTGTATGTGTGTGTGCATGTATGTGTGTATGTGTGTGTGTGTGTGTGCATGTGTGTGTGTGTGTGTGTGTGTGTGTGTGTGTGTGTGCGCGCGCGCGCGTATTTTGTGTGTGTGTATATGTGTGTATGTGTATGCGTGTGTGCATGTGTGTTTATGTGTGTGTATGTGTGTGTATGTGTGTGTATATCTTTACTTATAAAGAAGAGGCACCTGTGACGTGTGTCTGTGTGTGTGTGTCACGCTCCTTATAAAGAAGAGGCACCTGTGAAGTGTGTTTTTGCGTCACGCTGAAGCGCTGCGGAGCAGCGCTGCGCGGAGCACGCGAAGCGTGCGAACAGTGTAGCACAGTGTAGCTAGCGGCCGCAGAAGCACTGAGCAAGCGAAGCGTGCGAATCGTGTAGCTAGCGGAAGCAGCCACAGAAGCACTGAGCACGCGGAGCGTTCGAATCGTGTAGCCACCACCACGTGCTGAGCACGCGAAGCGTGCGAACAGTGTAGGTGGTAGCGCTTATACTAAGTTATAGCAGACACGATCAGTACGAGTAGCAGTAGCAGCCGCGCGCAGAAGCACTGAGCACGCGAAGCCTGCGAATCATGTAGCCACCTAGCCTAGGCCATAGGCTTAGGCATAGGTCTAGGTAGCACTAGCAGCAGCCGCACAAGCGCTGCGGACCACGTGAACATGGTGAACCGTTCTCTGCAAATAGAAACATCTGCAACAAAAGGATACAAAAGATCTGCACTGACTGCACTCTGCATCTGATCTGCAGTGAAGAGCGCATCGCACTTTTGTTCGTAAGTTTATGAATTTTTTGAGCCGCTTCATCCGCCACCATGTACCAGGTGATGGACAACCCTGACCAGCCTCCCGAAGGCGTAACAGACGTCCCTCCTTCTCCTTCCAACCATGAAGAACCTTCCTCACCAGGACTTCAGCGGTCTGGCCACCACCACGTGCTGAGCAAGTGTGCTGTTCATGTACTTGCTTCACCCGCATGCCACATTCGGCCAGGCAACGCTGGCCTGGGGTGCTGCTAGTGTGTGTATATGTGTGTGTATGTGTGTGTATGTGTGTGCATGTGTGTGTATGTGTGTGTAGATGTGTGTGTATGCGTGTGCATGTGCATGTATGTGTGTGTGTGTGTGTGTGTGTGTGTGTGTGTGTGTGTGTGTGTGTGTGTGCGCGTGTGTGTGTGTGATCCAATGGTGTGTGCGTGTGACGGTGTGTGTGTGTGTGTGTGTGTGTGTGTGTGTGTGTGTGTGTGTGTGTGTATGTGTGTGTGCATGTGTGTGTATGTGTGTGTATGTGTTCCAGCTAGTTCAGTTGGTGGGTACACTTATGCCGGATAGTGTCGGGTCTGTTGCCAACGGGCTCGGCTGCTTGAAGGTGTAATGTTGTATCTACCACCTTTGTTGGTTTCAGGGTTCATATACTTTCTATTTGAAGTATACATACCTGTTAACCATGGACTACTTCTGGCTAGATTAACTCTTGTGTGATCATGGTGCTAGTGAAGCTTGTATCAGATCCATTCTGATTTAGCCACCCACACTAGTAGCAAGTATTACCTTCACTGGGGGCAGGGGTAACTGCAGTTGGATCCCAGGACGGATACCCTGATGCCGTCAATCCTTTTTCTGCACCTTGTCCTCACCCACTTACTGAGGTGTGGTGAGCCCATAAGTGGGATCATTTTCAAGTCCACCCAGAGTTTTGGGGATTTCAGGGGGTGTCTGCCGTTGGGCGGTTCAATAGCCAATTGAGTCATCTTTCCAAGATTCCTTTTGAGTCTCTCTCCCCTCTCCCGGGGAGACCCACGTGACCAGTTTTGGTAGTGAGCAACAAGTACAACAAGTACAAGTATGTGTGTGTGTATATGTGTGTATATGTGTGTGCATGTGTGTGTGTGTGTGCATGTGCATGTACATGTGTGTGTGTGTGCATGTGTGTGTGTGTGTGCGTGTGTGTGTGTGTGTGTGTGTGTGTGTGTGTGTGTGTGTGTGTGTGTGTGTGTGTGTGTGTGTGTGTGTGTGTGTGTGTGTGTGTGTGTGTGTGTGTGTGTGTGATGTGTGTTGCCATCAATCCTCTTTCTGCACCTGTCCTCACCCACTTACTGCTAGCTAACGGTCCTCAAAGTTCTCAACCCTTTGTCACATTACTAGCAACTGTCAGGTAAAACAGAGCACCCAGTGATGGCGACACAAGAAGTCACTACTGCACGGATCACTTGGTCTCAGGGTTCCCTGTTATGTAAGAAGACGGCAGCGTCGGTGGGAACTTCCCTAATCTAGTCCTACTTCTATAAGCTCAGAAGCAAAGTAACAGTTGTGACGGATTGGGCCATTTGAAAATAATTTTAACTCTCCACACTGCGCTCTTGGCCCACATTCACCACGCTATTCACCACGCTATTCACCACGCTATTCACCACGCTATTCACCACGCTATTCACCACGCTATTCACCACGCTATTCACCACGCTATTCACCACGCTATTCACCACGCTATTCACCACGCTATTCACCACGCTATTCACCACGCTATTCACCACGCTATTCACCACGCTATTCACCACGCTATTCACCACGCTATTCACCACGCTATTCACCACGCTATTCACCACGCTATTCACCACGCTATTCACCACGCTATTCACCACGCTATTCACCACGCTATTCACCACGCTATTCACCACGCTATTCACCACGCTATTCACCACGCTATTCACCACGCTATTCACCACGCTATTCACCACGCTATTCACCACGCTATTCACCACGCTATTCACCACGCTATTCACCACGCTATTCACCACGCTATTCACCACGCTATTCACCACGCTATTCACCACGCTATTCACCACGCTATTCACCACGCTATTCACCACGCTATTCACCACGCTATTCACCACGCTATTCACCACGCTATTCACCACGCTATTCACCACGCTATTCACCACGCTATTCACCACGCTATTCACCACGCTATTCACCACGCTATTCACCACGCTATTCACCACGCTATTCACCACGCTATTCACCACGCTATTCACCACGCTATTCACCACGCTATTCACCACGCTATTCACCACGCTATTCACCACGCTATTCACCACGCTATTCACCACGCTATTCACCACGCTATTCACCACGCTATTCACCACGCTATTCACCACGCTATTCACCACGCTATTCACCACGCTATTCACCACGCTATTCACCACGCTATTCACCACGCTATTCACCACGCTATTCACCACGCTATTCACCACGCTATTCACCACGCTATTCACCACGCTATTCACCACGCTATTCACCACGCTATTCACCACGCTATTCACCACGCTATTCACCACGCTATTCACCACGCTATTCACCACGCTATTCACCACGCTATTCACCACGCTATTCACCACGCTATTCACCACGCTATTCACCACGCTATTCACCACGCTATTCACCACGCTATTCACCACGCTATTCACCACGCTATTCACCACGCTATTCACCACGCTATTCACCACGCTATTCACCACGCTATTCACCACGCTATTCACCACGCTATTCACCACGCTATTCACCACGCTATTCACCACGCTATTCACCACGCTATTCACCACTGACCTCGGAGCTCTCAGTGCGCGAAACAGCTGGCTGGAGCATCTATCTATCTATGGCATAGGCCAAGAACGAACTAACTTGTTACTTCCTCGCTACGGTGTCGTCACGGAATGTGGGCAGAGGAAAAAAATCATTATTTCCTCGCCTACATGTACATTAGTTTAGCATGCTGTAACAAACACAGAACAGAAAACACCAGATCTTTGGCACTAACCTTGACTTCATCAGTAGGGCGGCATTCACATGATTCACCAGCCACATCGCCGCCATCACGGCCAAGTAACGTTAGTTCCGCTAGCGAGTGGTTCTGCTGATCTACATGCCGAAGCGTATCGCCAAGCAACCATTCACAACAAACAGAGCGGAATCGATGGTTATGCTGTGCATGTGGCAACAAGTAATAGTTACCATGGTTATATAGTATCTATCACAACCCTCACTCAGTTTGACTTTGAGAGCGATGGAAAGGAGCCCACAACTAATATAATTAGGCCATCCAGAATTAATTCGTTGTTTCGGGTCACCCGACCGACCGTCTTTTTTCACCCGACCGCAAAATGTTTTTTTTTTGTAGTGCATGCAAATGTACAGACTAAACTATGTACAGACTACACGCCACCCTAATAATAGCAGTCCAGATATCGACCTCAGAATAGGCCTTGGCGGATAATGCTCGAAAAGGTGGCAGATTCTGCTTTTTTTGCACCGAAATTGGCAGAACCATACAAACCTTATGGCGGGCAATTCCTCGAATTCTGCTCCATTTCTTTATCCACATACCAAACATGCATGAAACTTACCAGAAAAAGTACCGAATTCTGCCAATTTTTCTGCCGGCATTATCCGCCAAGGCCTACCTCAGAAGCAGCCATGGCTAGCCAAATGACAGGATGCAGCGCTTGGTGACGACGTTGTCTTCTATCTCCGATCCGCAAACGGTCCTGAAACAGCATCAGCTCCGCCACCTTGTCGCTATTTACAGAAGTTTTCAAGGTGAGAGCTGCTCGACGGTCAGACTCGTTTGCCAGCGCGGCCAAGATCTGGTCCTGGAGGGGACCTGGATCTGATCGGACAATGACTGCGCTGGATTGTCTACACTACACATGACTGTACATGGACGTAACCAAAATAAAAAATAAAATAAAATAAAAAATAAACCCGACCGACCGACCCTGGTACGTATACGGATGAGTGAAGTGACCCGAAACAACGAATTAATTGCATGTCGGAGTTTCCGGTGAGATATAACTATGTCTAGCCCTCGCGATTTACGCGATTTCATGCTCGAACACAGCAATTTTTAAAGTTAATTATTCTAATGAAGCTGTACTTGATGCAGCTCATCCAAGGCCCTTTCAGGCCTTTTTTCATGCTCGAACAAGAAGTGCCTTGGATATTTTTTTTTTCTCTTGCTGTCTTAGACTCTTGGCGATGGAGAAGCTTCTAGAGTCTTTGCGTGACGATGATCAGGCGGCTCGCCGCCTTGCCCACGTGCTGGCCGATGCGGTCGAAACACAGAGCCGTGGATGCGGGAGTGTGGTGACACCCCAAGATGGGCCGGGTGCTTCGAGCTAGTAGACACCCTTAGCAAACAACGGTAACGCTATTTTTTACGGTACTCGTACCTTGATCACCCAAATAGCGTTGAAGCTGCAGCGTAGAAACGTTATGGGGGCTGATTTATCGTTGTGACCAACGGTATGTGTTTTGGCCAAATATTGCATAGTCCGTACGCATTTCACCTTGTATCGCGTATATGGTGACAAAAATGGTTGTACCGCGTGATATCAAAGCTCAACAGCGTACTAAAAATAGCGTGCATCTTGCTAAAGGTCGAACCCAAATCACGGTATTTTCCCCCTTACGAAAATACCGTTACAACATAACGTTTTTTGCTAAGGGTGTCTAGTGTCGTGCGTCCACGCGAGTCACGCCGGGACTTTGGGTCGTGTGATGTTTCTGGCGCAGCCAGGGCACGAGTGGCTGGTGGATCCAGCCCGGCACCTTGTCGGCGCCATAGTGCGTCCTTGAATGTGACGAGCACTAAGCGGCCTAAACGGCCTAAACGGTCTCGCGACCTACTGGGCCTATGTGCCTACGAGTCGGACACTGTTGGCAGTGCCTCCGAGTGTGAGTCGGACTGTTCTCAGTCCAAGACATACTCCGACTCCGATGTCGATGAGAGTGCGCACTACTCTAGTTCTAGCCAGAGCTCAAGTGCTAGTTCTAGTAGTGCCGACTCGGAGTCCTCAGATCAGGACAGTGTTGCTTGCCACCAGATCGGGCGTAGCAAGCGGGCCAAACGGTCCCACTAACATCCACCACCTGTGGAGCGGTCGGTGTTTGACCCATCTGTATTGCCAGATGCCACTGGGGTACGGGTCGCGCCGGAGGTCGCGGATTACCTCGGGAAGCACGTAAGGCATCGCCTTGAGTTTGATGCACATAAGCGCCTGGTTGCGCAGTGCCCGCGGCCCTCTAATGTACCCAGTGTTGCCACACCTCGTCGTGATGATTTTGTGGGTAAACGGCGGGATACGGGCAAGCAGTCCCGTGCACCTGACCCAGACCGTTTTCTGTGGACTGTTCAGGACGAGGTTTTGGACACGGTCGGACCGCTGTGTGCTCTTTATTCGAGAGCCTTGTCAGCTGAACAGACAGGCACGGCCTTGTCTCCAGCTGACGTCATTATGTCTGTCCAGCAGACATTGGTGCTGGTGGGTCACGCCAGTGAACATATTTCACAGGAGCGCCGTTACAAACTGCTCCGGCAGCATGAGCCAGCTGCTGTGTCTGTTCTACGATCAGCAGATTTGTCTGTTTCCGGCTCCAACCTCTTTGGTCCAGAGTTTCTGAAGTTAATGCGGTCGCAGGCCAAGGAGGTGAAAGCATTTCAGGAGCTGAGTTCTTCTCTGAATCGCCGCAAGCGCCCGTTTAGAAACTCGCGCTCCAGTTCCTCGCACCCAGTCCGCTCGTCCAGTGCACCGGCTTCTGCCTCTGCTAAGTCTCTTTTTCGGGAGGCTCCCGTCCGCAGCCGCAACTACTACCGCGGCACAGATCGCTACCGGGGTTCGGGTCGCGGAGCCGGCACCACACCCCGCCACTTCCGACAGCAGTCGCAGACACACCACCAGCCGCAGAGGCAGCAGCGTCTCGGCCGGGGATCGGGATGAGCCCCGCTTTCCATCCTCATCCAGCTTGTTCCGCGGACGATTTCCGTCATTTTATTCATTCCTACACTATGCTGCCACTTTATCTCCCGCTTCCACCTCGTTCCAAGCTGTCCACTCTCCCTCAAGCGGGTCGGCTCCAGTACTTTCAGGCGTCATGGCACACTCTGACGACGGACCCTTGGGTGCTGGAGACCGTCGCTGGTTACCGCCTGGATCTGCTGTCTCCTCCGACTCAGCCGTCCGAACCACATCCTCACCGGTTGGACGCCTCTCTGACTCAGAAGCTAGACGAGGAGGTGTGCGAGATGGTTGCCAAGGGCGCCATTACGCAGATTCCGGAGCGGGAAAAGGGATTTCTCAGTCCATTTTTCGCTGTGCCGAAGGCGGATTCCATCAAAATCCGGCCGATTATCGACCTCCGAGCCCTGAACGACTGTCTGCAGTATCACCACTTCAAGATGGAGTCATTGAAGACAGTGGCGGATCTCCTGCAGCCCGGCGATGTGATGATCAAGATAGATTTGAGAGATGCTTATTTCTCAATTCCAGTGGCTCGATCGTCTCGTCGTTTTCTCCAGTTTCGGTGGCATCACCGGCTTTACCGGTTCAACTGCCTACCGTTCGGCCTGAGCAGTGCTCCCAGAGTCTTCACCAAAACTCTGCATCCTCTGGTGACGATGGCACGTTCGCTCGGCGTCCGACTGGTGATTTACCTCGACGACTTATTAATCATGGCACAGACAACGTCCGACCTGTTTCGCCATGTTGCTACCATTCTTCATCTGCTGATCGGTCTTGGGTTCGACATCAACTGGAAGAAGTCGCATCTGATTCCCACCAGGCAGATACAGTACCTGGGTATTCAGGTCAACTCCGTCACCATGGAGTTCTCATTGCCAGACACGAAAGCAGCCAAGCTTCAGCAACACTGTGCACAACTGCTGACTGCTCACACCGTATCTCTTCGGGACATTGCATCGATTGTGGGCTTGCTGGTGTCCACTATGGTTGCCGTGGCTCCTGCTCCACTTCACTATCGTCGTCTGCTGTGTTTGAAGAACACGTTCCTACGACAGGGTCGCCCCTACACTTACCAGCTTGCCCTCAGCCCCGAGTGCCGTGCCGAGCTTCAATGGTGGATTCGGCATCTCCAGCTGTGGAATGGGCGACCCGTGCGCATTTCCGAGCCGGACCTAGTCATTCAGTCCGATGCATCCAGTACGGGTCGTTCGGGGTGGGGTGCATGTTGCGGCAATGTCACCACCGGCGGCCGATGGACTTCTGCCGAGAAGCAGCTTCACATCAATGCCCTGGAACTGTTCGCAGCCCAGTATGCTGTCCAGTCCCTAGCGCCTTCTCTCTACCGGGGCAGCATTCTCCTGCAGCTCGACAACAGCGTGGCTGTTGCCTGTTTGCTCCGCAAGGGCAGCAATGCATCACCGACCTTAGACAGGATAGCCGCCACTCTGTGGGAGTGGTGTCTGCTCCGAGATATCACTTTGATTCCACAATATCTACCTGGTGCGGTGAATACAGTTGCCGATTATCACTCTCGCCATCACACCGATGCCAGCGACTGGATGCTCAACAGGTCAGTTTTCCAGGATCTCCAAATCATGTGGCCGAGTACCTGCGACCTGTTTGCATCTCGCATGAATTCTCAACTGCCCACGTATGTCAGTTGGCGCCCCGACCCATACGCACACCGCCTGAATGCCTTCAGTCTCGACTGGTCCTGCCTGCAAGCCTATGCCTTCCCTCCAATCTGTCTGATTGGCAAATGCCTGGCCAGAATTGTTCTACAGGAGGTCCCATCCATCGTCATGGTCACTCCGCTTTGGCCCGGTCAGGCTTGGTTTCCGGCTCTCTTAGCCCTAGTGGTAGACGTTACGCGAGTGCTGCCAGCCTCTCCAGTCTTGTTGACGGGTCCAGATCACGAAGTTCACCCGTTGGTACAGTCCGGTCACCTCACCCTGGTCGCATGGAAACTCTCCGGGCTAGCTACAGCCGCCGCGGAGTTTCGGGCGACACTGCCAACCTACTCTTGGCGTCATGGCGTTCCGGCACCGAACGTGTGTATCAGTCGGCATGGAACAAATGGTGTGATTGGTGTCGCACACGGCAAATCGATTCCATGGATGCTCCTCTCGCAGAGGTCCTTAACTTTCTGACCTCCCAATTCCGTCTGGGCCGACAGTACCGTACGCTAGGGTGTTACCGGTCAGCCTTGTCTATGACGCTTCCTCCCATCGATGGCGTTGTGGTTGGTCAGCATCCCCTGGTGTCTCGTCTGCTCAAGGGTGCATACCAGTCCCGTCCGCCGCAGCCGCGCTATGGCAGCACGTGGAATGTACAGGCAGTCCTGGATCGGTTTCGGAACATGTCCTCCACGCCTGAGTCTCTCAAAGCACTGACTCTGCGGTTGACTATGCTGCTGGCTCTGACGGGTGCTCGGCGTTGCTCTGAGCTGCAGAAGCTCGATGTTCGTTTCATGGACATTACTGTCCATGCTGCTTCATTTGGAATTCCCACTCTTACCAAGAATCAGCGCGTCGGTGATCCAGCCAAGCAGTTTGTCTTCCCTGCTTACCCTCAGCACCCTCAGTTGTGTGTGGTGGATGCTCTGCGGCAGTATTCTGCTCGCACAGAGGGTTTCCGGCCGGCTGCCGCAACATCTGCTAACCCTCTGCTGCTGTCGTTCCGCCGTCCTCACAAGCCGGCCTCACCGAGCACCATTGCCAGGTGGCTCCTCACTTCCATGTCGGATGCTGGTGTGGATACCACTGTTTTCAAGGCGCATTCCACACGTAGTGCTGCTACCTCTGTTGCCCGTCGGAAGGGCGCCTCTGTACCCGAAATCCTCAGGGCCGCCGACTGGGCGCAATCCTCTACATTCCAGAGGTTTTATTCTCGTGATGTTCCACTCTCCTCCTCTGATGGCACCACCTTCGGTGCGGCTGTCCTTGGCTGACAGTTTGTTTTCCGCCGCTCATGATTACGGCCGATAGGGGCACCAGTATTTCCACTCTGGAGTTTGCATTGTCCGTTCTGCATAGTTGGCAATGCTAAGTTGTATTCCATTCAAGTTGGTATCTACTCCTCTCGCCGTTCCGTGCGTACAGTTTTCTGATAATTCCATCTGTTCTATCATTGGCCTGTGCCATAGTGTGGGCTGATTATGCTAGTTGATCATGCCAACCACTTTTTTTCCAGAAATTTGTCTGGTTCCTTGTATGGCCGGTGTGATAGTTTCTTGTTTCCGCTCCAGGTGCGGAAACGACTTTAAACAAGACATAGTTATATCTCACCGGAAACTCCGACATGCAATTTCCCATTTCACAAGCAATGGAAAATTGTGTAGTGAAGTGGGAATTGTATAAGGAGTTGGAGGTGAGATATAACTATGTCCCTCCCACCCACCTCGTTTGGGTGTTCTCCATGAAAATAGGCCTGAAAGGGCCTTGGATGAGCTGCATCAAGTACAGCTTCATTAGAATATTTAACTTTAAAAATTGCTGTGTTCGAGCATGAAATCGCGTAAATCGCGAGGGCTAGACATAGTTATATCTCACCTCCAACTCCTTATACAATTCCCACTTCACTACACAATTTTCCATTGCTTGTGAAATGGGAAATTCTAGGTGGCCTTATTTACTTCACTTGGCACAAGCGGGTGAACATGGTGAACATGTGTTAACAAGCAGGCTGCAGGGGCAATGAACGGATTTTGAATTCAAGTTATTTTTCAACATCACCATATGGCCATGTGCATCCTTAGAAGCCTGCAGTCCGACGTAAAAAAAGTCTCGTGGCTAGGAAAGTCGACTGGACTTGCTAGCCGCTGCCGTTCAGTGCTGGCAGGAATATCCAGCGGAGAAAATGGAATCAGCTAGGCTGTGCCTTTGCTCCTCGTTCGGCGGAGTTCTGAAGAGTAGAGATGGAAACCAGGGAGTCATAAAAATATTTTACGACTTCCTGAGTGGTGGAAACAAGAAATCGCCACCGTGGCGGATTACGCGGCTTGAACGACGGCGCCCCCAACTTAGATGATGCCGCCGCGAGCCTCCCGCCACGCTGGCGGTTTCTGAGGCAGCTATTGGTGTTTAGTATTTCTTTTAGAACTTTATTATTAGCAAGAGTACTCTTGTTATTAGTGATGTAACGGATGGTGTTTTCTTCCAACGAATATTCTCTCGAATATTGCTTTGACGAACGAACGAATATTCTATGTTCTTCTCTATGATGTGTCTCGATCACTTCACTCCATCACTCCATCACGGCGGCATCAGACACAACATTCATGTTGCATATTCCGCGGACACTCCGAGCACTCAATCCAAGTAAAGCTCCGTAGTGTTTGACAGCCCAGCCGGCAACAGGCCGGTCTGGAAGTAGGACAGTAGTATGGTATTAGTGGCAGTGTAGGGTAGCGTAGTGTAGGGGTGTAGGTAGGTAAAGCAGTCAGGGAGAACTTCTTCGCCCTGGGGCGAGCTCGCAGGAGAGCCTGCGATGAAACTGTTCTGCTCCCTCCCGGGTATAGAACACACTCTGCTTAGCGTGCTCCCGACCCTGACCTCTCATGTCAGCGAGTCGAGGGATCGTGAGGGTCGTCTCCATCAGCGTGTGGACGATCTCTCCGCGCAGCTCGTAGCCCTACGTGAGGAATTTTGCTCCCTGCAGAAATCCGCCATTGTTCCCGACAAGGCCTCTGCACGATCTTCTCAGCACCGAGCCCAAGGCGACAAATCTCGTACCCGTAGATCTACGAAACCTCGTAACCGTCCTCCCCAGCTTGACCCAGCAACAAACCAGCTCGACCCAGCCGATGCAGATGATGGACAACAGCCTACTCAAGCTCAACTGATGAGGGGTGAAATTCCCCGAAACATTGTGTATTGAGCAGGGAGTGGTGCTGTCTTCATCAGATGTACTGCATTGTGCCAGATGATTACGAATTGTGTTGGCTTCAGTTTTCCTAGTTGTGTTGGCTTCAAGTTCCTCAATGGCCCTGGAGGGATTTGCACGCGCATTTGGAGCCTTGCATTCTACCCCGGAAAACTCCACTCGGCAGAGGAGGCACGCTGACTGCAGCATGGAAGCGTCTCCTGGTGAGATTCAGGATGGTGCGGTACCCTGCTGCACGATCTCGGAACCGGGGTCTCCACGCTCCACGTTCGATCTGGGGACGCTTTCTGATGTGAGCACCACGAGCGAGGATTTACGAGGCGAAGGAAACACTGCTGCTGAGATCGATAGTGAAAGATCGGAGTCAAGGTCGGCCTTCAAACCCGTGACGATCGAATCGAGTCTACCCCTCCCAACCCACAGCGCCTGAAGGAAGCATACTGTAAGTCATAGTAAGTGTAGTCTACATAGTTGAGCAGTTACGTCACGTGAGCATGAGTGCATTCATAGAGGAGAAGATTGGTGCTGTACTAAATTCTGTTGAGAGTATTCATGCCGAAGTTTCACCACACTAAAAATCGGCCTTGAGGCACGCCTTGAGAGCTTTGAAAGTCGAATTGCTGCAGACTCAGCAGTGGAGGCAACCCAACAGTCCACGCTTAGTACGGTACGGGACATGGAAACAAGCATGGACTTCCTGTCATCAAAGTATCGCTGTGTTTACATGAAGCGTTTCAACCCGGGTCAGATTTCAACCCGCCATGTACACAAAATGAATGGCGCGTTTACATGACGCATTGCGCTTGACCCGGGTTGAAATTTCGCCCCGGGTAGATTTCAACCCTCCCCCCAAGGAGAGGGTTGAAATCAACCCGGGTCAAGAAAATCGTACAAACGTACTTCTGTGCGTATCTCGCGCCAGGTTTGAACGGCACTGCAGATGCAAATTTCGCGCGAAAGGATTCACGTGACCATACAGGACTGTAGAAGCGGACTTTTGGCGGCATATCAGTATTTGACCCGGGTCAACTGTCTTCATGTAAACGCTCACCTCTTTTGTCTATCGTACAGACTTTCAACCCGGGCTGAACTCGACCCGGGTTGAAATTTTTCATTTAAACACAGCTTATGACCACCTCGAAACATCCATGTCTGATTGTACCACCAGCTCCCGTACTGCAACCACATGCATAGAAAAGCAAAGCACCGTACTGGCACGACATGACATTGCAATGCGAGCACTGTCTGAGGGCGTAAACCAGAATCTGATGTCAAGTGACCTTGAGAATGCGCACGCCAAGATCAAACACACCGCAAACACCACCACAGGATCGAATGCACCGAATACCAGAGACAACATGCCGGCCATCGCCGCCACTCCTATTGTTGAGAAACTGTACGGGAAATCGTACAGGAGGATCGGAATCAACTTGAAAGTTAAGTTCGATAATCATTAATTTTCAATACCATATCCAAGAAATTTCAGCAAAGAATTAATCGCTATCTACCTTACCCCAACATTGCCTTGCTCTACAAATCATATGTACGCCCCACCATAGAATATGCCACCCCAATCTGGAGCCTCACACTAACAACTGCACAGCTAGCTATGTTCGATGTCCTGCAGGCTAAGGTGTGTAGAGGGTTACTAAGATCAGCCAAGATAGAATTTGACAGATAAGAATCAAAAGATAGTTTGAATAGTATGTGTAACTTAGAATCCCTCCATTTCAGACGTCCCTTATCGCTATTACAATTCTTTTCAAATACATCCACTTTCAACCTCATATATTATCCCTTTTTGATATCAACTTATAGTATTTCTTGTAGTGAACGCAGACCGAACAAGCTTGTTTTCAACTCTCATGGGAAATTTTCATCTTCCCTTTTCTTACATAAAATCGGCAAATTATGGAATTGCCTTCCACCCAAGATTACCGCTATAGATTCTGTGGGAACTTGTAGCCAGGCACAAGGGGTACATGGATGCAGCTAATGGGGTCGTTCTCGTCACTTGTGCCTGTGGTTGGGAGACTTATTTTTTTTATTTTTTTTACTGAATACCACAGTACCATCAGATGCTGCACAGCAGGGGCGGTGGCATATTGGATGGAAGTGGAGGCGGGGCAAAAGTAACTTCTCCGACCAAAGGTCTCGGAATTATTGTTACTCCTGTGCGCCGATACATAGGAGAAAAGAAACATGTGCATCCAAGAGGGGAGCACCGGCTTTGCAAACGATATTGGGGAGAATTTGAGATTGGGAT